AGGGTGAGGTGGCGCTCGGGTCAACCTGCATTTCCCCCCCCCCTCCAAACGGCATCTCTCTGGTTTTCCATGCATGTACATAAAAGCTTTTTCTTTCCAACCACCCGGTCGTCTCCGTCCCTTCCATTCATATCAGGGGCGGGAGGGGGGAGGGAAGGGGTACGTAGGGAGGCCAGCGCACCCCCACTTTTCATGCGAGGGCTTCTGCGGAGGGCTGTGCAGGCAGGGGCCAGTCAGATAAAAACCCAACGGGTTGGTTCACCCCGGCAGAAGGGCAGTGGGGCCGACTGCCACTAGGGAAGGAGTTGCCGCTTGCGTTCCTTGTGGCGCGCCGAGTCTTGCAGCTGGCACTTGGCAAGGCATGCAAGCGAGGACTTCTTCCGTAGGGGCTCTCCCTTCCGAGACCCTGGGCTCCCGGGAAGTCCGGAGAGGCTCTCTCGGGAAAGAAGACCCGAGATCCGAGATTTGCACCCACTCCTGCTCCTCATCTTGACCTCCCCGAGGCTTTTAAGAAATTGACCGAGCCTGCTCACATCTTGTTGTGACCGATTTTTTTTTTAAAAAAACAGTACTGTTTGGGGAACCCCAAGCCACGCAGAATTGGCTCTCATCTCCCTTAAAGGGTCCAAGGGAGGAAAACCGAAATTTTGACGTTGAAAGCCAATCCTGGAGGTCCAGCGTTTTGTCATCCTCCACCGGCTGATTTAGGACCTCGTGTTGGCACACGCTTTCCTGATGCCCAGAGCTGGGGTTCGTGGGGCGGGCGTCTCCTATGGGGCATGACTAGAGGTTCGACAGAGCAGACCCAAGGGGAATTGAAAGACCATTGGGGTTTTGAGAGTGGGTTTTCGTGCGCCGCATGGAAGCAAAGCAGCTGGCAAGGATCTGAGACCTTTCAGAGAGACAGTGTCGATTCTTCTCAGTCTGAAGGACAAGCCCCCTCCTCTCCTAATGTGGGCCTTGATCTTTCTGGTACAGGCTGTTTGGGGGGGGGGAGATGAGTCCGGAGGGGGTTTCTATCTGAACTTTACAAGTGCTACCCAAACTACTGAATCCTCCCCCCCTCCCCGTGATAGGTAGCTCCTGGAACATCCCCTGTAATAGGTAGCTTCAGTAAGGTTTGGACTAAAATCCAGAGTGGATTCAGTGGCCTGCCAAATATTAGCACCGCCGGCCTCCACCTGCCAGCCCAGGATGGCCAGTAGTTTCTCCCAGCCATCTGCAACTTGTTGCGCGCCCCATGATGTGGGCTAAAGCTACCCCAGGCTCTACCCCTTGGCCACGCTGGTTGGGGTTGATGGGAGCTAGAGTACAGAATACCTCACTTGGGCTTGTCTGGGTTGGGGGGGAATCAATTTGTGAAAGGACAGGGGTTTTCCAAAGAAGAGAACATTAGGGTTGGTCCCAACGTTTCTAAATGTCTTGTTTTTGCTGTCCGAGGAAGTCTTCAGGGATGGTAGTAGGCCACCAGGGTCAAACCACCCAAAGTTGCTGATCAGGAGGGACAAGAGGGTCACTCCCCTCCCTGCTCTCCGTTCTGCCTGTGATTGAATGGCAAGCCTCCCTGAAGCTGGGAAGGGGGAAGGCAGGGTCCCCCTCCACTGCAACCCATTGCTCCAAGTCACCCCCGTCATTCTGGAATGCTGTTTCTGGTGATTTCATCTTGAGCCAGCAATTCAGAGCTGTTAGCTTTACAAAAGCCCTGCTCCTTTTGGTCAAAACTGCCAGAGTGGTTTTGTTGCTATTGATCATTGGGATTGCTGGCCCTTTTTTTGGACCCTGCTTAGAGGAAGGCCAGGGGGTGGCGGCTTCTGATCTCAATGGCTGTGTGGTTTCCTATGATGGGTCCCAACGCTCCCTGGAGTCGTGACATGCCCAGATCGAGTGGCAGCTGGCTCTGGGTTTAAGGGGGTGCTAAACCTGGTCTGGGTGCTTGAACGAATCTTATAGGAGCGACCCCCAAAGGGCTTGAACCTATCATGGGGAGAGGGTTCGGACGAGAACCCGCAGAGGATGGATTCTGATCACGAGCCGTCCCCGAACCTTCTGCATGCCAAGCGACCAGCCTCACCCCGAACTCCCCCAAGGATGCCGCCCTGGCCTGGCTTCTGTTCCCAAACTGGGCTTCAGCTGTTGCCCCGTGGCTTGGGGATGCTCAGCTCTACGGACAGGGTCCTAGAGTTCTCTCTGGATCCTCTTCGGGAACCGGCTGGATCAGCCCCATAGAAGGGCTGGCCTTTCTCTCCCTTGGAAGACTCTTGAGGAGGTTCTGTGCTGCCTTTCCAGAAGAGGTTTGCCAGTTACGTTTGGCTGCCCGGACGGCCTTTCCTGATGTAGGTAAGCCTGGGGGTTGGGGGGCCCACGGTCGTGAAAAGCAGCATTCTGGGCAAGAAGCTGCTTCCATGGGGCTGGGAAGGGGGGGGGTTCCTCCAACACCTGCCTTCCTTGTAAGTGGACTTTGTGATGGTCTTTATGATGGACTTAGGAGCCCAGTCTGAAAAATCTGGGGAGTATGTGGATGGCGTTTCCCGGGAATAAAGTTCACCTGAAAAAAATCCGGTGAAAACCCAACATCATCCATATTCTTTTGTGCAAGGGAGCCAAGGGGCATATCGTACGCAGGGCTTGGAAACAGTCCTTTTGGATTGCCAAGAATCTCAGATCCTTGTCCCCCCTCAAGCAGCGCAGCCACTGCCCGTGGCCAGGGGATTGTGGGAGTTGTAGTCAAAATGCCGGAGGGAAATGGTGGCTCCACGTTGGTACGGGGGATGACGTCTGGATCTAAAAAAGCAGCTCGCCAAGGGAGGGCGCCTCATTGAGGAATAGGGTTCAGTGCCTTGGAGAGCCCCTGTAAAGTTCGGACCAAAACACAAGCACGGATTAACTCCCCTTGCACTGCGAGCATTTTTAATTTCAAAATCTTGGGTGCCGAAACATATTTCTGTTGCTTGGGGTTTTGTTTTTGACTTTTTTAAAATATGAGAGTGGTGACTCTCTCTCTCTCTCTCTCTCTCTCTGTGTGTGTGTCTCCAATGATCTTTTGAAACAGCAAACTAACCCGAGAAAGCGGGACAGATTTCCCCATCCCCACCATTCCCACAACACCCGACGTGGAGGCAGAGAAGCTGATCCGGGAGAAGGATGAAGAGGTGAGTCGTGGGCAGCAGGGCTCGTGAGTGTCACCGGGAGAACAGGGGTGCGAATTCCTCCCCCGGCATGCAAAAGGATGATGATGAGGGTGCGGCGTCCCTCCAAAAGAAAAATCAAGTTTATACCGTAGGAGCCCTGTATCCGTGGCATCAGTGTCTGCTGATTCACTTATCCATTTGGGCAGCAGGGTTCGTGAGTGTCACCGGGAGAACAGGGGTACGAATTCCTCCCCTGGAATGCAAAAGGATGAT